CATTTCTTAGACAATTAAAATAGGATCAAATTCAAAACGAGATAATGTAGAACAAAGTCATGAATATCATATGCCTATAAATAATTCAGATTGGACTATTCCAGAAGAAAAAATAGAACATATTTATAGAATAGGCCCTTTAGATTTCAAAACTGCTTTATCAGTTAAAACTCATGAAGAAACCATATCTCTTCAAGAAGAATATCAATCTATTCAACTATTAAATCATAGCACAATTCAAAAATATTTAAGAAAAGAATATCGATATATTCATATAGGTTTAATACAGATTGCTGTAAAACCTTTATTCCATCTAGGAGTTGATGCTCCAATATATTTAGCATTAAGAGATACTAGAATAAAAAGATATAAACCTTCTTTATTATCAATGATTCAAACAAATGTTTGTAATGGACCAATATATTTTAACTGTGCTCCAAATTTTTCAATAGACTTAACGGATCCACACATATTGAATCCAGTCCACCATTTTATTCCACATGGAATTCAAAGTGCCATGGATATTTTGCTGGAGTTTCAAAATTCATCAAGAACTGGAAAAACCTCTGCCAATGTCATTGGTAAGAGAATTCAAAATAAAATGGTGGACTGGATTCAATCAAGAATTTGGCGATCAAACTAATGTAATCAGATTCCTGACCACTAGAGACAAATTAAAGTGGACAGCTACTACCACTACTCAAAAGGAGACAAGACAGTCAACAATCACATGGCCCATGCATCATATGTTTCTTGACCATTCTAAAAAGATGCTTATTTTGTGCTTCATCAGGTATTTCTGCAGAAACTATGCGATCATAATCTTCTGTTGTATATAATTTAAAAGTAGGCTTGAGGATAATCAAAAAGTGAGCATGAGGTAAACCACGTTTTTGAAATTCTATAACATAAGTATATGCTGCTACTTCTCCAAATATTTACTTTTTGAATAACTCTTGTTTCATAATTTCTAACTTTGCATGAAACACACGAGCAATAAGATCAGGCCTATTCTGTGCTTCATCTGATTGTAACATATTTTCTTTAATCTCAGGCCATGATTGGTTGCAAGTCATAGTTATAAAAAGATCTGGCTTCCCAAATTTCTGAACCAAACTCATAGCATCAAGATACCTTTTTTCATATCTCTAGGACCTCCAATGAATGATGTAGGCAATATTACTCGCTGTCCAATCGGAAATCCATTTTGTTGTCCCTGTATTACGCTGTCCATAATTCCTTGTAGCTGCTCTTGACGTATTTGCTGTTGTCGACTTCGATAAAAATCTAGTCTTTGTGTCTCTATTTTAACATACATGTCAACTGAATATTGTTGCAAAGCTCTTCCAGCATTTAAAATATTTGGCCCAATATTTTTTCTCATCTGGAATTTATATGCATAATACTCTCTCATTGATACATATTCCTTGGAGTTTTCATATGTCTTGTAAGCTGTAAGATTTAGAATATTTGTCAAAGAAGAGGTGACTGCAATTGAATACAATTATATATAATGAATGGTATAAATGTCTTACCTTCTTCTTCAAGATTAATCATTTCTTCTGGCGACTTAAAGCTGGACAATGTAGCTGTACATGAATGTTTCGCAGTTTTTCTTTTGCGTTTTTTTGGATTGCCTCCTCCTGATCTTTCTATACCTGGATGCCATCCAGTTTCTACAAATGGAAAAAGTAGTGGATACTAAAGAGGGTCATAGCAGCCATAGTAATATTGAATGCGGTGGCTGTGTCCTTCTTTTGTATATATCTGTATGTGTCTAGAATAACCTTGATTAGCGTTGTCTCCTTCAACCCATAAAGCCGCAACTTGAGATACAGCGGGTTTATTAAACACTCGCTGGTCATTGTCGGAGTGAGATTATAATAGTATCTGATATGAGTCCAAGTTTGGTACATTTCTCAAACTCCTAAAGAAGCAAGCATATGGATTTTCTTTCATTACTTCCATTAGCTTGACTACAATATTTTCTGTCAGCCTTTCTGATATGGCTAATCGATTCTAAATTTCATGTTTTGTGTCATGGAAATAAAGCTGAAGATACATTCCTGATCCTCCATGCGGTATTAGTTCATTGATAAAATGGTAGGTTTGGCCTTGTATCTTGAATGTATAGATTCCGTTTGTCCTCTTGCAAAGAGATTGTCATAGTGAACACCAAAGGAAGTAAATGCAAACATACTATTATAGGTCCTGACATAGGTTCGAAAATATATAGCTTCTTCACTCTGTCCAGTAAAAAGTTCAATTAATACATCAGGTAGCTTATTTTCATGGAGCACAACCTCACCATCAGAACAGCAAAAGTTTGCTGTTTCTAAATAGAATTTTTTCGCTCCACAATATTTACAATCTGGTACATCAGGGAGATGGTCTGCATTATGGCTAATGAAATTCAGAGCGTCTACACCAGCTGCATTTTTAGATGCTGCATTTTTATCACTATGTTATATGCATATGAAAGAACTATAACTATTTGTATATGAACAGATATAACATAAAGAAATAGGAATGGTACCTTTATTTTGCATGTAAGTTTTGTTTGCTCGGATACCTGATCTCCTCTGGCTTGAACTTTTGCCTACAGGACAATAATGTCGCTAGTCAGGAAGTAATAAGTTCTGCAACATTTTCATATACATTTTAGTTATACATACCTTTTGGATGATTTTTTATGACATTAGAAACATTGGCTTCTACTGGCTGAGGCTCTACTGTCATTGATATACCTGATTAGGTAAATAAAAAAGCATAAGAACATAAATCAAATTCAGTAACCAACCAACACTGAGCAAATATTTGTAAAAATAGTATTAAAGGGTTAAACCTGCAAGATTATCAACTGTTTGATGCAAGAAATTAGAGCAGCTATCGCATATAGGAGGATCACCTACCAGATAAAAACAAAGAAATTGTTATATGAAACATAGAGTGATAAATATTATTATAACAAGTTATACCTGACACATTTCGTTTGTTGATTCTTCTGCATTTATAGCTGGACGGCTTTTTGATGAAGAACCTAGAAGGGCAAAAAAGATACAGAATTAAGGTAAACGTAGAATACATAATTACTTGTGTAAACATAGAATACAGAATTAATTTGTGTAGGCAAACCTTGTTCAAATGTTGAAAATACAGAATCATGGTTTTTCAGCTTGCCTTTTGATTTAGCATTGGTTTTGCACAGAGAATTACTTTTGACAGCAATAAATTGTTGCAGATTAGTGTCTTTGTTTCTATTCTGTTGCAGAAGTTGTTTAACAGCAATACTCTGTTGGCTATTGTACTCATTCTTCTGCTGTACGTCACACCCAACTGGAAGTTCTATACCTGATTTACAAGATTTTCATAATTCACATTGCTTATAGAAGTTTTTTTTATTCAGTATTAAGGTAACAAAAGAGAACACTGAAAATTTTCAGAAGTTCTTTTTTCTCCTCTATATTTATGAAGAAAGTAATTTAGAAGCATAAGTTAGTGATTGAAAAAGAGGTGCATGGCATTGACGGGCTGGATGATATGGAATCTTAGCGGGAAAAACAAATGTTTATGGTGATATGCATTTATATCACGTTTATGGCTGGATATATATTTATATGCATTAAATTACAGCTGATACATTCATGACTTTCTTGAGCAATTAATCCAATGAAAACATTTCTGCGCCATCACGAAGGTCGTCAGGGTTGAATAAATTTTGGAATGCTTTATGAAGAAAGCATGTATACTAAAATAGCGGCTATTTAATTCAAGAAGACATCTCATGTTTATTAGCTAACTGTTTTACGTTTGTTTTTAGCAAAAACAAATGTTTACATCAACTGTTATAAATTTTAAGACCTCTGCTAGCTGTATTAACATTTCAAGTACTGCTCACTTAGTATTATATTTTTTGTACGCTACAATCCAGATTAGTAATATGATTGTAATTGGTCTTACTGATGGTTGGTTCTTATAATAATTCTAGTTATTTCGTGAGCAGGTTTCTCATAAGAAAATTCTTTAAGTATTGCATCTTGTGAGCAGGTTTCTCATAAGAAAATAGTTTAAGTATTGCATGCATGAGAAGCACCTTTATTCACTACGTTATTGTTCTTTTATTTCAAAAGATGCATGACTGCTTTCTGCTACATACAAAAACACAATATAAAGGCAAAACTGAATTAGATACCATCAGTTTGTTGTTGATTCATAGAAGATATCGATGCAGCAGCTTTCCTTGCTCTCCTTTTTTGATAAGCTTCTCTTTGTTTAGCTCTACGAGCTTCTTTTTCTTCCACTGATAAGGAAGCATATTTTTCTCTTAACTTTCGCTTGCAAACAATGTTCTTATTCATTGAATGTGCAGGTGCATCAGTTGAAGGCATGGTTTACAGTTTATATCATGAACAGAGGAAGCATAAACGGAGCAGAAGGTAGTAGGATAAAGCAAAAGGTTGTGGGCTTATACAAATAGCAACGGAAGATAAATACATGAAACAATTTTTCAATTTCCCACACCAAAAGTAAAAAGCTATTGTAAAATGACACTATTAGACATGAGTTGAAAATATATAGTCCATTCAATGAATATTTTGAGGGATGAAAATGTAATTAAACAAGAGAAAATTAGTTGGCTGATAGAAATCAACATCACATCTCATTAATGCTTCTTGTAAATGCTGCAAAACAGCCAATGTTTCACTGACATTCGGCTAAGCCTTGCAACAAGCAACAAGTAGTTCCAATAGCTCTTGAACAGAACAAATGGATTGCAATGAACACTAACCAAAAGAACAACCACAACCAAAAGGCTTTAAGGACAAAAATGCTCTGAAGTGAGCAGATGAAATTTTATGGACAAAAATGCCCAATGAACAGGAACCCAAAACCAAAACGTCTTCTTATAATATATATATAATATAAAGATATAAAGATATATAAAGATATATATATATATATATATATATATATAATTTCATGCAAATTCCATAATTATTTTCTATAGTTCTTTGAAATAGACCCAAATTTGACCCCAATACACCTCCAAAGATCAATGCTTTCTCCCCGAGAGGATTCAAAAGAGTCACCTGATTTAATAACAGAGGTTAGTTCGCTTCTCAATTTCAGGATGTCTTTCATCCTTTTTCAATTTGAGTTTTGCAAATTTAGGGCTCTTGATAATTGGGCTTTCTCTTGTTCACGTTTTCCTCAGTTGGGCTTTGCTTAGATCACTAATTTATTCAATTACAGTAAACAGGTTTCTCTTTAATTGGCTTGATGTCTTGCTTTCTTCATTTTCTGCAGCATTTGTTGAATTTTTAGTTGTAATTTAGTGTAGATTGTTTCTGAATTGATTCTTTTATGTGAAAAAGGTGTTCTTGGGTCCGTGCAGATAATTGAAAACTATCAGTTTGAGGGGAAAGGAAGAATTTTGAGTTGTGGGGTTTAGGTTGGCGACTTTTGTTCTGAATTTTTTTGGGGAGATAAAACAGAACCTTGAAAAATGTTGTCAAGATCGTATACTAATCTCTTAGATTTGGCATCCGGGAATATTCCGGTAATGGGTAGAGAGAAGGAAAGGAGAAGGTTTCCTAGGGTCATGACCGTGCCCGGAAGTATATGTGAGCTAGATGATGACCAGGCGCATAGTGTTTCATCGGATAATCCGTCTTCAATACTGTTTCTATCTTCTGTATAACACCCTTTTTTTAATTTGTGGTTTTGATTTTGTTTAGGGTTTCTTTCCTTCTTTAACTTATTAACGTGCCAGAGCTCCAACAAAGCTTGAAGAATCAAGTTTCAATGGGAAAACCAGGATTTGCAAGAAAAAGAGGTAAAATTTCCATTAGTTTGCTTCGTAATGTTCGTTTATACTTATTAATAGGTGCATCGTATATAGGATTGAAGAGAGTGAACAGTTCAAAGCCATTTAAGAAGTTCAAAAATCTGAAGCTAAATCTTGGAGCAGAAAAACTTGTACCTAAGCAACCTCTAGAAAATGACTCAGGTGAGCAGTATTACATTTTAGTTTTCTTTTAAGGATTTTTTTTTTGTTATTAGTGATTTTTTTAGTCTTTTTTAAATGTTCTAGAGGATTGGTCTGATGAAAATTCTGAGGCTGAATTAGAAACCAAAGAAGAAGAAGTAGAAGAGGATATTGTTTTTAACAGAAAGCCAACAATGTATGACAATTTATTGAAGAGGTTGGGATCAAGTAGTCAATTAATTGCAAATGCTATTAAGCAAAGGTAGTACTCTGGTGCTACAAAATCTGTGTCCCCCTTTTTCTTAATCTGTGAAATATACCCCCTTTTGATTGTGATGGTGAATTATTTACTTCTTGATGGTTTTATGTGTTTAAAATTTGCTGATTGACCATAGTCGATCATTTGGATAATGTCTTGATGATGATGATATTGGAATTTTCAATGTAGAAAGTGCTGTTTTCATTGCATTGAATGTTTGCTTGAGTTTTATAATGGCCAGTCTGGAAATAAATTCAGTGTACTATGCGAGTAAAGGAATACATGTTATAAGAGTTTGTTATGTATTACATGTTTTTATTTTTATCTGCGTAGTATGCCCCCTTTTGATTTTGCTGGTTAATTATTACATATTGATTGTTTAATGCGTTTAAAATTTGCTGATTGAACCTGTGGGACTTTCGTTGGTTTTGAAAGTCTATCATTTGTTATATGTATTACATGTTTTTATTTTTATCATACCCCATTTTGATTTGCGGGTTAATTATTACATATTGATGGTTTCATGCGTTTAAAATTTGCTGATTGAACCTGTGGGACTTTAGTTGGTTTTGAAAGCCTATCATTTGGAAACTGTAACTTGGATGATTGGCAATTTAATGTAGAAAGTGCTGTTTTGGTATATGTAATGCATTGCTTGAGGTTGCTAATTGTCATTCTGGAAATAAATTTGATTTGCTCTATGGATAAAAGGAATACATGTTATAAGAGCATGTTTGAAATAGTGCTATGAGTGGAGGTTGGTGGGTTCCCAAGAACTAGGGCATTGAGGTGCACTGTAGCATATTCCCCTAGTGTTTTTGGGGTTTGTTAAGTTTTCTTTTGTAAGATAATGATAATTGCTTTGTTATTGTGGAATTGAAGTGTCAAATGACATTTTTTCGGGATTTGGTTAATGTTAAAAGCATCAATTGCTTCTCCATTAATCAGTATTTTACATTGTTTGATGATCATTGGTAATGGCAAAAAAATTGTGATGAAAGAGGTGGAGAAACAGATGTAGTGATGTCTTTAATCTCTTTCCCTGAAACAATAGGTGCTAATCCTTAATTTATTTTGTTTGTAAAGGTATATGAACTTTTTTTCTTTGCTTATGGAAGATATATGGTTTTGTTTTCCTGGTAATCAGAGCCTGTGCTTTAACAAAGATGAAAAATATTATGGAAAGCATAAATGAGTTACAGAGGATGGAAATTATTTCAGTAAGTTTGATTTCAAGTATCTAGTCAAACTGGTGATTAGTGTAGGGTGAACTGTTTTATGTTGATTATGAGAAATGAAAGTTAAAAAATACAAGTCCTTGAAAATTGTTCTTGTCATGATGAGGCACGCAGATGGTTCTTGGAATAAGTTTTGTCACCGCGATAGTGTAACTGATGTGTTTCACTGCATAAGAAGTGTTAGTTTTCTCATGCATAACTTTTTTCATGGTTAGGAGGTCAGTCAAATCAATCATTGTTATTCTCAAAAGTAATTCTCCATGTTGCTGTAGACACTTGGCTGATTTTTTTACTATTCTAGTTGCATTGAATGAATTCATGATGTTGATTTATTTAGTCCTGTGAAAACTTACATAAGAAAAGTGTCTCTCCTGTGAATAGAAAAAGAGAAGAAGAAACTCAATTCATGATGTCGATTTATTTAGTCTGTGAAAACTTACATAAGAAAAGTGTTTCTCCTGTGAATAGAAAAAGAGGAGAAGAAGGGAAAAGTGATACAGAAGATGATGAATCAGAAAGTGAGGTTGAAGATGACAATGAAGGTAGACAATATGCTCTTTATGAATCAGTTGTAGAATTTGTATTTTGTTGCTTCATTTGGTTACAAGGAAGTATAATGTCTTTCATTCTCTTTTCTCATCAAATGTAAACTTCAATGCATCACATTATTATTGTTATATCCTTTAATGCTTTTACTGAGCCTTTGCCTAGTTGATCCGTAAGTTTACATGTTGATTATTACCTCCATCATAGATTGTACTGGGTTTCTTGGTTCCATGTTTTCAGTTAATCGGCTTGTTTATTAGTTTCAAGCACTATGATAATTTGGATAGAATGTATTGAGCACATAGTCCACTATGTTATTTAGGTGAAAACATGTGGTGATGAGCTTGCACGCTAGTTACTGTAGCTTGAAAATTTTTTAGAGCACGAGTTTTGATCATTAATGCTCACATTAGCTTACTTATGTGAAGGATTGGAATTATGTCATGTTTCAGATTCTGTGGGGGCTAAAGTGTTAAACTTGTTATATTTAAAACTGGGCATAATAATAATTTTGGAGAAAAGTTCAACTAGTATTCTTTAATCCTACTGCCTTGGGTGCATAGATGAGATGGAAAATAAAAGTTAATAATCTTTCCTTGATGTAAAATTTAAACATCTTTGCATCATCGGAGGGATAAAACACTTTTTGTGTCTTGGAATTAGTATTTTTTATTTATTGATACACATGGGTTAAAATGGATTTTTGTTCTTTTTTCCTGTACAACATGTCGAAGTCTGTTCATATATCGGAAGTTATCAAGTTAAAGTGAATGGTTAGATATCATTAATTACTTGGGCATATCTTTTATCACCAAAATATTCAGTTGAAAAATTAGATAAATTTTCAAGTTATAAGCAATTGCTTATAGTCTGAAGTCACCTCAGAAGCACAACTTTTCAAATAAGCAACCATAACAATACAAACAATAAGAAAAACTATGGAAGGCATGATCTTTAATTGCTCAATTGATTACTACAACCCTATCGGCGTTGCTTTTATATTTTTCCAACTAAAAAAATTAGTAATCTTGCCTAAAGCTGATATGTTGATAATTTATGGTGTGGTAAGAGTAGTGATGCAATCAACTTGTTATGTCATTTTGTAATGTGAGCTGCTTGGGTAGCTGACTGTTGAATATTGATTTATTTATTTATTTATTTTTTTGAATTAGGGAGTATTGATGAGTCTCCTAGAAGTATTGAAATGATAAATGGTGCCAAAGAAAGTGGTGTGCCAGGTTATACAGAAAAGAGTGAAGATTCTGGATCAGATGATGGAGAGATTGGTGCCTCTGACTCAGACAAAGAACATGATTCGAGAACAAATGTTGAATCCATTACCAGCAGAAGGTATTCTTACATGACATAAATTGCATTGGTTTTTCTATTATCGCTTTTGGGATTCCATTTTTTCTTATAAAACAAACAAAGGTGGAAAGCGAAAAGGAAATCAACTTTTTAAAAAATCAAGGACAAACTTTGGTTGTTTATAATCTAATTTTTATCCACCAAGGAAATGATAGATACATTATGGCACTGAAATGCGAGCATTTTGGAGTCTTTTTGTTGTCATTATCAAATTTGCTCATTGACTTCTTTTTATTCTTCCTTTGGATCATTGATCTTTTTTTGTTGCCCTTCTTAATGGAATTTGTGATGGCGTATTCATTTAATGATCATGTACCTAGTTTGACTAGTTACTGCAAAAGAGAGAGGGTATGATATGTAGGTGCTTCTTTACTGTGCATTATGCCAGTTTTGTTTTATAAATTTAAATCTCCAAGGAAAGTGATAAATTTGTTTTGAAGTTGTGCTTTTCCTATTCGAGTTTCTACGACGAGACTTTTCTTATATATATATATTTTTTGTTGTAAACTTTGCACTGTACGAGAAACCTTGTAATTTCCTAGTTTGAATGATTGCAAGGAATTTATACCTGACTAAGAAATTAATCGAACACAAGTATAGAATTTCATGGGCGATCTTTTACATGTTTTTCAATGTAGATGGTCTTTAACATTTTTAACATGTTTTCCTATTCCTTTTGGAACCAATGCAACAACTGTTCTGCATTCTAATACGATGTTCTACCCCCACCGAAAATATATGGGACGCAAGAACTGTCTATATACCTAACTTGAGGTTTCTGAACTTGTAGTACATTCAGCAGTCACTTGGAATATAAATTATCTCAAGGAGAGGTTGACAACTTATTCAAGAGGAAATGGAATTACAAATGGGAAGTTCCTGCTCTTCGTGCACCCAATTGCAAGTGGAGAGGAACTGGAGACTGTTTTTTGAAGGTAGATCTCTTTAATTATAACTGTTGGTTGATATGGTGAGTTTCTGCATGCAAAGAGCTCTAACTGTTGTAATAGTTATCGTCTTGTAATTCTGGTTCCTTTAGCCTAGCGGTTGATTGATGCGGATTTGTGTGGATCTAATAGCCCATTGTGTTTATTTACTTCAAGTTTTGGGCATACGATGCTGCAGTTGGACCCTCCCTCCCACAAGCATACAAAAAATCAGTTTCTCCTGAAGTAAAACAACTCTTTTAATATTCATGACCTGTTTTTTGTGGGTGGGTAAGGAAGATTTTAGGGTAATATCCTACTATTTGGTCTTTTAGCGCCAAATACTCTTTGTTTGTTAGCATTGGGAGAGAATTTTGGAGGTTAAGTCCTGTTTGCAGCGTGGTATGGCAGTGCTTGTCATTTAGAGTATCTCTGAACATCATCTATCATTGTATTTCATGATCTAGTTCTTAGATGGTGGCATGACTAAGCTCAATACATGATTTATTGCCTGTGTTCATGTTGCATTAGCTGAGGATTTTTTGGGAAGGTAGTCGTTTACTTTTATTCTTTTGGAGCATTTTTTTTAATGTATCATAGTTCTTGACTTTTTAAAGCCAATTTTGCCCTTATCTTTTCCACAACCATATGATCATCAATCAATATGCTTGAGCCCTGAGCTCATTTCGCTATTTATCTAGGAGTCATGAATGTTTTGAGTTCATTCATTTTTCTTGTTGCATTAGTATGTTTATCTCTACAAATCATTGAAAGATAAAGATGTACAACTTGGTGTTTATAGATTAAATTTTGCTGTTATTTAACTTCACCCACTTGGTATCATCTGATGATCTTGGATAGGTTTAATTTTTTTTTTTTTTTTAAGGTAGCTTATGAAATTTAAACTATCTTCTATGCCTTTTGTTTTGATATTGGAGGAGAGTGCTTTCTCCTCTATTTACAACTTTCTTTCTTCCTTTCTGTTATGTGTTTCTGTGATTTGGTTCCGCATTCTAGTGCTGTGTGGACTGTGTAAAAATGTTACGCTAGTTAGAAGTCGTTGATGTTGCAGCAAAGGGAAATTAATGGAGTCTTTATTGGTGCACCTTGCACTTTGTCTGTTGTTGCCTTTTGAGATCTTTTTGATCTCCTTTATAGACTCTATTTAAAAGGACTTGAGTATAGTTCCGAGAGTAGCAGGACAAGTAATTGATGACTGGTTATGCAGGACATTGACATGAATGAAATGTGTGGCCTCAAGCCAAGATTGTATAAGCATTGGGTAGGTGTCTACCAAGGATCTGGCGGCACTGATTTTCAATCATCTGAGCAGAGATTCTTTTTCTCCATCTGTAAGTGATCTAACAAACTTGGCCACACCTTTCTGCCACTCAAACTTCTTATGTTACTTATGATTAATAGTGGTGATGGTTTTCATCAATGTGATGTTGAATTAAATTGTAGCATTTGCTGTCACCTTGGAAGAGGAATTTTGTGGTGTTAACTTATGTGTGGAACAACTTATAGCATGCCTGGCATGTTTAAAAGTGCTTATAAACCTTTAGGTCTATCCTGTTTGTTAGTTTATTTTTGTGCTGTTACTGAATTTACTTTGGCCCTATCACTTGGCACCAGAAATTGTGTATGAACCAGTAGCAGTCTGATACATGTGAAAGAATGAATCATACTTACTCTGAAGAAGAAATTCTTGTTAGCGAGATTTAGTTCTAGAAACATTCAAGGAAAATTTAACTATATTAGTTTCTATTCCTCCTAAGTTCTTCAATCATTGTGTTCAGATTTCATAATAACGAAGGCAATATGGATTTATCCACATAAATATAAAATTCTTTTTGACTCCTTCAGTTGGCTTAATTTTTGTATAATTTTCTTGAGAATTGCATTTTGCATAATTATTTATTATAGTTGCCCTTCCTGGTTGAGTTTGGTTTCTTGAGAGTCCCAAATTAATATCTCAAAAAACAAAAGTGGCTTTGTCAGGTTGTACTTCATTCTGCACTTTGCATCAGAAACTTTTAAAGACTAGGTCTAGGGGTTGTAATGTTATTTACAAGCAGTTGATTGGAAAAGGCTAGGTTTTTTATTACCCTGGATGACATATCTTAACAATGCTGGAATACTCAGCAAAAGACATAAGAAATTAATTGGTGATAACGCAATTTTCTTGGTCATCTTTGTTTGGTTTAATTGGTATTGCTTCTAAATTCAATCTAATTGTTGCTTGCTGTGTATTACTTCAGGTTCAATTATGTGATTCTTTAGTTGGGTTTCATTTTGCATCAAACATTGATGAACAGATTTAATGTTGACAAACTGGCATGTTATTGAGCATGTATTGCATAACAAATGTTAAAAGCATACAGGTGTATATTTTTTATATTAAAAGTACTTTTGCTTTTCCCCTTTTTCTTTGGTAGGCGGAAAGGTGTCAATGCCCCGTGTATGTTTAGATGGTCTTCATAGTGCATTCTTTTTTTTTTTTTTAAAGAATGTATATTTCTGCAAACCAAATGTTTATTTATCTATTTAAAAGGCAAAGTTTAGGGGCAACTTTGAGATTCCTTTTAACGTCTAAGCTGTCCATTATTTTATTCTAGGGAATCAGAGTCAACCACGAGCAAGATATACATATGCTTCTCAGTGTAGATGATATAAAATGACTGAAAACCTTGTGATTCTCTGAGATGCCTTTGGACTTTATTTTCGATTTTCTTCCATGCTTGACCCCCTTTCTGCAATAGTTGTTTAACTTATCAAAGATCAGCAACTAGAATATAAGTTATTTAACTTGAAGTGGTCCTTTTTAAAATGCAGTTTGGGATTGAGCCTTATTATTCAGCTTATATTTGCTATCATATTTCCCCTTTTTTGTCACTCTGAGCTTATTTTGCGTTAACAATTGATAGTCAATCACTTTTTGACACATTCTAGAGAATTGAGATGATTGTTGCTTTATGTTAAACTCTTGCTTGTTCAATGGGGTTATATTCATCAGTTAAAAGTTGTACATGTAATCTTGCAATCACACTATTTCTGTAGGCAACAGCTATCGGGATGTATTACACCATAACAAGAAGCCTTTTTATCTTAAAGGTCAAGAGGACTCGAGTATCCTGGATGCTTATGTTTTGCACACTGTATGTATATGGTTTTATACTTGTATTTTGGTCATTGCCTTTGTGTTTTGAATTGGCATTTCCTTTCCAACTTTCTCTATATGGATTTTTAATTGTTATAGCATCATTTTGTAATGAGAAGCGAAACAACATTGTGTATTTCAAACTGCTGATAAAACAGTGGTATGCAGTTAAATCATGTTTTGAGAACAAGGATTTTGATCAGTAAAAATGATGCAAAAGTGGCTGATGCTCAAGGACAAGGGGGCATTCTCAATGGTGATGGTTTCCTGGACCATGGGTTTACTCGTCCTAAGGTATTCATAGTGCTTGCTCTAGGTGTAATTCTGCACATAAGAAAGGTTATGCACAAAATTTTCTTCCATGCGTCTGTTTATTTATTCTGGTTGTCTGAATTGGCTGTTTATCTATTCCGTTCTTACTAGTCTGGTGTTGTTCTTATGATCTTTTTCCCCCTTTGTCATGTAATCAATTTATTGTTCATCTAAGTGGCTATCTTTTGCTCAATGAACAGTTACTATAAATTGGTAAACCTAATGTATGCGCAAGTTTCTCCATCTATTAGTAATTGTTAGGTAGACTTGAGGTCAGAAAGAGCTGTGCCTTCTCCTGGCAAATTTGAACTTCACTTCGTAGGCTTTCTGGTTTTGTCAATATTTGCTTTGGTGCTACCTTGCCCTTGAATTTCAAAAGTGCTGCAGTTTTCGGACCCTCTTATATCTGATACAGACAGTGACCGATCCAAGGGAATGGATATTTGAAAAGGGAAAAGATTCTGAAAGTTTGCCTTTCTTTTCACGTGAACTACTTGACGCCTTTGTTAAGTGATTATCATAGAGCAGAGCTTGTTCTTGAGTTCCAAAACCATGGTGCCAAAGATTAGAAAGTATTGATCAGAGGTGCCTGCATGGACAACTTGGCATCTCTGTTTCATCGCCCAGATCTTTCACCAATCATGTGCTACTCTCTTAACCCACAAGACGTACAGATTTACCCTACTTTTTTGGTCACTTGTAGCTGATTTATTTAGGTTAATGTAATGAACTTCTTCCTGTTAATTTTCTCACCTCGGAAGTTTATACCTACATTGTAGACACTATACATGTCTGAAAATCCACTTGGGAAAGAGACTAACAGGACGCAGAAGCAACTGACTCAAGTTTGAAATTAAGGGAGGATTGAAGAATGCTTAAAGTTTCTTTCATATTTGTTTTATGTGTCTGACAACTTTCTTATACATTTTAGTTTTGATGTCCTGGGCACACTTTTAAGATTCTTAATTGCTTTAATGTTGACACTTTCAGAAGATAAGCTTTTGCCCTTGTTTTTGTTTTAATTTTCAGGTCTTGATCCTTTTGCCTTTAGCAAGCATTGCATTTTGGGTAGTAAAGAGGTTGATCCAGTTAACCCCTTCAAAGCATAAGGTATTGCTGCACTGTCCTAGAGCACTCGTAGGAAAGGTCAATGAGTTTTTGTGCATAAGAGCCAACTGAGGCTGGTTATCTTCTTGTTTAGCACTATTCTTACATAACTTCTTATCGAAAACTCAAATGTATCTGTTGTGTTGTCGACAATGACTTTTCAGTCTTCTGCACTTAATACAACTTGCCTGATGGACAGTGATACTTTATGGACTGGAGCACATACATGGTCTTACGCCCAGATATGACTTTCCATTGACTTGGGCTAAAGAATGCAATGCATCTCAAGATGCGCATTCGCATGCTAGTGACCAAAAAGAAAAGCCAGTCTTCTGTAGGATAATTACTGATTGTGACTAAAAATTTCAACTATGCTCAAGAAGTAGGAACAACGATGGCATATATTTCTTATTGCTTCCATGGGAAGAAATTAAGGAGATTTTAATGTGTTTTTGAATGTGTGTGGTGTAATGTTCATGCTGACACGCGGGAGACTGGCAAATGGTCCTCCTAGACTGGTTATGGATCTCCACTTTTCCAACTAAACAGTAGATTCTACATGGACTGAGTAGAAGAGGAGACGAGCATTCTAAGTTCTCCAATCGAGTTCTTGTGGAGTCTGGATAATTGTGATGCTTAGAACTTAAAGGGACTAAATTGACTGTGGTAGCTGCAAATATGATGTCTTATAATCTTTGCTTCTCGTCATTATTTGGGCATTTGCATAGGTCATCTGTGTGGAGTTAATCAGTCTTCTGTTGCTATAGTTATTGATTGTCATTAAAATGAACAGTCTCTTCAATGCATTTTCTGCATTGTCCTATTCCCCAGGTTAATATTGAACACATGGATCGCTTTACTGAGGAGTTTGGGAGTGGAGGAGTTGAAAGTGAGGAGGAGGATGAGGATGTTGAGAACTCAAAAAGAAAGAAGTCCTCTAAACCTTCTGACTTTCAGTCATTGTTTGGTGGGAATAACAATGATCATTTCATGATAGGCATCAAGTATATGGGGTAAAATATCTGATCTTGACTTGTTGACTAGTGTGAGATTCTTAATTATTTGACTCTGTTTGAGCAGACTTCTTTAGGGAGCTCCTTTTTCTATTGCATGTCAATTCTTACGCATTCATTGGGTGTTTTCTGAAAAGATGAATGGAGCAATGCTTGTATTTTTTTATATTGATTGTAATTTCTTGGAGAAATAAAATCATTTGGGCTTTTGGCTGTCCGTTGTGACTAAGCCAAGTCTAACATTACAGTCATTTGTTTTCATATGTTTAGCTTTTTTCTCGTACTAAGTTGTCACTCTTCATTAACTTGATGAGGACATCTAAAGGCTGCAAAGTAATTCATGCTTTTTATCCCATTGTGCAATTTTATGGTATATGATTTAATAATGTACTGATTTGGACCAGTTGCCAAAACTATAGCAATCAGTTGATTAAGTAACCTTGAAAATTCGGACTACTCATGCTCTAACACAGTTCCCTCCATGACCCTTGGCATTGTGACAGAACTTAGTTATATGAAATTATATTCTTTAAATGTCTTTGACTGGGAAGGCTTGCATTTTAGGAGTATCGACTTTGTCGTTTCTTAGTACCAAGGAAATAGATGGTTTGAAATGATTGGCTGGGTTAGCATCAAATAAAAGGAGGTTTTGAACTTTGTCAAGAGATTTCTTTTTTGGAAAGAGCTGACGGTGACTTTCTGCAGTCTAAGCATCACATGATATGTTTTGTGGGAAGTGTGTGAGTTTGTTTAATGTTTAATATAACAGGACATGATTGCATAACAAGGTTCCTTTTATTTTATTTTAACATATTGGTTAGAAGCTTCTTCCTGGTTCTCAAGAAAAGTCTTCCCTATCAACATTGCTTGTGGAGGTGTTGATGGGACAGGAACTTCCATCCCTCAATTCCCCTCGGCAGGCTAAAATACTTCAACATCCAGGCATCAGACCTAATTTACCAGTAACCACTAACCACCAAAGGGCTCTTGGTGCATGCTTAGAGCGATTGGCCTAGTAATATTGCTTTAAAAATTTACCAAGTAGTGAGTTTTAGTTCTTCTGATTGAAGTAAGGTCATTTTCATGAGTGGAAAAAATCTGCAGACGTCAAAAGAGATTCTTCATAAGATGAGCTAGGGAATTGTTGATAATGACAAAATGGTGATTAGGCACAATTTGAGGGTTAAGTTGGATTTATTGTTATATGTATGAATCCAAAAGAATTGTATAGTCCATTAAGAAATCATGCATACTAGTTTTTAGCTGTGAAATAACTTCTTTATTCTTTCTCTGATGCACAATAGTAATTTGTTCTGTTTTGAAATCACATATTCTTTTCAAGCTCTGGTTCCTTATTAATCGTGTTGTTCTTGAAGATTTGGAAAAGCCCTGAGGTGTCTTCATTATTCTGATTATTAAGCTTTGGTGTTTTGCTTCTAATAATATTTCTTCATTTGATTGTTTATTGGCAGGAGGAAGATCAAGTTATATGCTGATTTTTATTCCTCAGACATAATAGTTGCTTCCCCTCTTGGTTTGATCACTGTGAGTCTTTAACTAGTCACGGTGATTTGGTTCTTAATGCTATGCATACTATGCCATGTGATCTCTTTTATCTGCATCGAGCATGTTTTGAGTTTTGGATTGCTATAGGTTGAAAATCTTGCCAGTAAACTATAAACTCCTCATCATGGATTGCTCCCTTGGCTGCTTGTTTGCTGTGTATTATCTTTTTGCTATCTATACTATGTTTGTTAGCGGTGATTATGACCAGTTTTCAGATTTTTTGGAAATTTATATAGGTTTTTAGTGTTAACCAGTTAACAAAAAATTATGTGGTTCAATTGGGCATCATAAAGAGGTGTAGTCCAACCCAATTTTTGGTCCAACTTTTAATTTTAACCAAGAAATTTTAGCAGTACAATTCAACCATCCAGTTGGCTGAGTTACTCCACATTTTTTATGTAATACAAGAAACTAATAGTCGCATTCAACGGAAATGTTTACATGACAGTAGTGAATTTAGAAGGAACTGTATAATACGTATTTAAAGGATTGATAGATTGTACTTTTATTCTGTAACTTTTTGGCCTATATTTAGAGCACCTCTACCAGTTACCAGCCTTCAAGTCTTGAAATGATTTTTAGGCCTTCATTTATTTAGGTCTTCAACCATTGCATCTACTTGTAATAAAGTGTTAACCATTTCCACCAGTGGTTGAACCAAATTGGAAATTCTTTGTTGCAACTTTCTTTGAATGTAAAAAACCAGGAATGATTGAATGGTCTAAAAAGGAAAGCACGATACCATGCCATTTTGTAATCTTGGTATGTGAATCCATCTGGAATGAAATTCACTGAAAATGATTTTTTCGAATAAAGAGAAGTCCATTCTCCAGGAGAACAAACTTTCTTTATAATACACTTGGAATGACTAATAATGTTTGGATTCTTTTTATCTGGAATGGGGTAAATCTCTACAGATTGAGTATCTGTAGGGATTAATTCATAATAGTCTAGATTTTTTGAAGGGTCATCTGGTTGCCAATAGCATTTTGGAGGAAAGATCCTTTGAGTAACTTGATGAAGAGAAGAGTATATGGGTATTTCTTGGAATCTGGTTAAAGTAATATGTTGAGTAAATGGCTTTGTGAAATAAGTATTTCCTTGAGATTTTTCTGGGGATTTTGCTAATTGTTGAATGGGTCTAATTTGAGAAGCAATTGGAGTAGCAGCTTGACTATAAGTCAATGCTGGAAAATCTGATAATAGTTGAAATCTATTTTGAGAAACAGGAGTAAGACTCATCTCATAATCCTGAGGAGTCTTTGGCCTGGAAGTGCCTGCTTTTGAATCCATTTTCCTGCACAATTAATAAACAACATCTTTAAGTTGGTCAGATAATTGTCTATTCTGGTCTTGGTAATATTGAATAAATTCGTTGTGAAGAAATTCTTCACTTCTGCTTGCTCTTTGATGGGTAATGAGTCGAATGGTGTTTTTCTGAATTTGTCTTTGAATAAGAAAGGCTCTTTCTTTTGGAGTAATGGTTGCATAAGGGCTTTTTTGAACATAAATTTCATCGTATTTAGGAATTTGGTAGGCTGGAATAACTTGTCTTCCATTCTGGGTCTGAATGGAATATACATATCCTCTGGATTGAATCACTTTTTCTTTGTTCTGAAGCTTTGGAGAATCTCGTTGTGATCTCAAATAATTTGAATATTCACGAGCATTTCTTCGAGCTATCATTGCTGGATCCATGTCCTTGTAAAAATTCTCTAGTAAGAAAATCTGGTAAAGAATTATTTTCTCCTTTGATAAATTCAATCTCGAAATCAAATACAGATAAAATAGCTTGCCATCTAGCAAATATTTGTTTTGAAACTATATTTTGAACATCTTTTTGTAAAATTTCTTTTGCAGATTTACAATCTATTCTAATCAAAAATTTCTTATTATATAAATCGTCTTGAAATTTTGATATGCATAAAACTATGGATAAAATTTCTTTTTTAATGGTTGAATAATTCTTTTGAGGGTCAGACCATGTTCCTGAATGAAACCTAACTAATTCTTCTTTAGAATTATTTATCTTTTGTTTTAGTATTCCACCATATCCTAATTCTGAGGCATCAGTTTCTACTATCATGAATGCTTTAGGATGAGGTAGGCATAAACATGGTAATGACTCTATTTTTTCTTTTAAATATTTTATTTTTTGAGTATGTTCATCTGTCCATGGTTTTGGGTTTTTCTTTAGTCTGTTAAATAATATAGAACATTCTTGTCTTAATTTAGGAAAGAAATCTGCTATATAATTTAAGCATCCTAGAAATCTTTGTAATTGAGTTTTATCTTTTATTTCATCTGGAAATTTAGTAGCAAATTCTAAAGCTCTATTAATTGGTTTTATTGTTCCTTGATATATATTATGTCCTAAAAATCTTACTTTAGTTTGAAATAATTTCATTTTTGGGGCGGAAACAACTAATCCATTTTTCTTGACTACTTTTAAAAATATACTTAAATGTTTGAAATGTTGTTCTATTGATTCTGAGAATATTAATACATCATCTATGTATACTATACTGAATGAGCTGTAAGGATTGAAAATATCATTCATTATATTTTGAAATTCTGATGGTGCATTTTTTAATCCAAATGGCATAACTTTTCATTCATAATGTCCAAAAGGTGTTGTAAATGCTGTTTTGTATCTATCTTTTGGGTCTATTATTATTTGCCAATATCCTGATTTCATATCAAATTTGGAAAATATTTTTGCATTGAATAATCTATTGAGCAAATCTCTTTTATTAGGAATAGGATATCTAATCCATTGTAATACTTTATTTAAAGGTTTATAATTTATTACTAATCTTGGAACTCCTCTTTCTTTTTCAGCTTGATTCATGACATAAAATGCAGCACAACTCCAAGGTGATTTTGAAGGTGTTATTAATCCTTTTTCTATTAATATTTTTATTTCCTTCTTACAAAATTCTAGTAATTCAGAATTCATCTGTATTGGTCTAGCTTTTGTTGGAATATTCTTTTCTTCAAAGTCCTTTTCATAAGGTAATTCTATCATATGTTGTTTTCTATCCCAAAAAGCATTAGGAATATCTGCACAAATTTCTTTTTGAAATAATTCTTCTAGTTCTGATATTCTTTTTTGTATTTTAATATCATTTATTTGTTCTTCAATTTTTAAATAAGCTTTTTCTTCTTTAATATAGTTTATTTGTTGTTGTACTTTAGTGATGGTATTTATTGTTTTATATATTGAAGATGTTTGTAATGTTTGTAATTCTTTCTGTCTTATTGGAGTTAGAAATTTGAAGGTAATAATTTTTCCCATTATATTTACTGAAATTCCTTCATGACTTACTAGAAATGGATATATTTGAATTAAAAAAGGTGTACCTAATATTACATCATGATTTATATTGTTTACAATTATGAAATTATGTCTAATACAATATTCATTATTACATATTGATCCTTTGGTAAATTTATATTTTACTTCTAAATCTTCTCCATTTGCTGCCATTAGTTTTTCTTTTGTTCTTTCACAATATTTTGTGGGAATTATTCCTTCTTTTATACAACTTGTATCAGCTCCACTATCTATTAGAGCTACAAAGGTTTCTTTGAAATCTTCTACTGTAATGGTAACTAGTGCAAACCATTTTTGAAAAGTCATTTTTTCTATAGTATTTATATACTGGTCTTCTTTTATTGGGTTTTCTGCTATTGATATTTCGTTTGTTTTAGTATTAGAGGTTGAAGGTTGATTATTATCTATTAATGTTAATTTTGATTCTATTTCTAAATCTTTTAATTTTAATTCTATTATTTCTTGTTGTAATTGTTTTGCTTGTATTTGTAATCTTAATTCTGAACATAACATTAATCCTTCTTTTTTCACAAAAGCAAATAATTGTCCAAAAGTAATATTTTCGAATGAAATGACATCTGTTCCCATTTCCTTTTGTAAATTATCCATTATTCTTTGTGAAAATAAGCTTGGTAATCCAGTTATGAATCTTTCTTTCCAGAATGAAGCATTACAATCTGATCTTCTTAATACATTTGTTAAGAACATATCTTTATACCATCTAAAATCTGATAAAGTTGGACATCTTAAATTTGTTAAAAATGTTTTATTAGAATTTAATTCCTCTTTTGGATTTCCTATAAAATACATAACTATTGTTACAATTAAAAATTCTGCAGCATCTGATTGTATTTGAATATTTCCTTGATCATCTTCTATTTCTTGAGTATGATCTAGTATTGATAATTTATCTTGTAATGTTAAAGCATTATCCCACCAATTTTTTAATTGTCCAGTAAATCCTGAAACTAGTAAAGTTGCAATATTTCTTTCTTGAATATTTTTAATTTTATAAGCTAATCTAGCCATTCCCATTTCTTGTAAATTATTTAATACTTCATATTCAGCTTTACCATCGATATTCCATTCATATATTGAATCTCCGTCATATTTAGTCGTTCTAAATTTTGATCTTTCTTCATATTGAATATCTGGAGGACTTGGTCTAGGATAATAATTTTTTGAACTTACTATTTTCCAATTTTTATTATTATAATTCCTTCTTTTTATTCGATTTATTTGATTATCTTCTTCTTCAAATTGGTTTTCTATTGGTAAAAGTATATTTTCTTCTATATCTGAATCTCTTGATTCTTCTGATAAATCTTCTAATTCTTCTGTAGAATTTTCTTCTATTATTTGATCTAATGTATTTATTTTGGGTGTTGTTGGTTTTGAATCTGTAGTTAGATTTTGTAATGCATTAGATATTTTATTTAATAAATTATCTGTATTACTTATCTTCTGATTACTAATACTTTGTACTAAATCTTGTTCTTTTTCTCTTGTCAGACTTCTTGGTTGGAAATGCGGTGCTGATATATCATTAGGGAATTTTAAATCTGGTTTCTTTAATGTATCAATTTTGGTATTTAATACTTCCATATGTTGAGATATTGTATGAAAAATTTGATTTGTATAATTATTTTGTTGGTAAACTTTTTTAATATCTTCTAAATTTATGGAATTATTTGTACTTGATTCAGCTTCCCTTCCCTTTTTAAAAGGTGAGGCTATTATTTCTCCTTGTCCTATATTTATTTTTACTTCTTGTAATGGGGGGTGTATTGATGTTAGTATTTGATCATCTTTTAATTTCCATTTTTTATATAAATTAGTTTGAACATTTATTTGAGGAGTATTATAAACATCATTAATTCCTATTTTTGAAATGTAAAATGATAACCAGGTAAAGAAAGGAAAATCAAATTTTCTTTTTTCTAATTCTTCTTTCCATTCTAGTATTAATTTTTCTTTATATTTTGATTCTAATTGAAAAAACCAAATTCTTTTTTCAGTATTTTCTTCATCATCAAAATCTTCTTGTAAATATTTATGATTTACTTTATATGGTTTAATTATAACATTTATTTCTCCTTTCATTTGTGAATGAGTCGGGGAATAATCTGATTGATTTTGATTTATAACTTCTGGAACAGGAGTTTTATATTTGAAAGTTGAAGTATTTTCTACAGGAAAATTTATCTCAGTAGATTCATAGTTAGAATGTCTAGCTGGTATCCATGAATAACTTGAATTGGGTCTTTCTCTTAATGAAGCAAATCTTATTAAAGTGTTTCCATCAGGTTTTTCTATAATATCTTCAGCAGTAGTTTGTTCTATATTTCTTGCTATTTGTGGGTTTTTGATTTCAAATTCACTTGGTATAGTTATTTCATTCCATTTTAATCTTTTCGGAGTATAAGTTGTAGGTCTATCTGCATCTACTTGTAATAAAGTTGTTTCTTCTTTAAGGGTTGGAGTCATTATAAATTTGGGATTTAAATGAGATGATAAGGGTCTATAATATAATCTGTATATTATTGCAAAATTCTTTGTATGTTTTTCAAATTCATTTCCTTGTAGATGAATATCTAATATGACTGAATTCAAAATGTGTGGATCCGTTAAGTCTATTGAAAAATTTGGAGCACAGTTAAAATATATTGGTCCATTACAAACATTTGTTTGAATCATTGATAATAAAGAAGGTTTATATCTTTTTATTCTAGTATCTCTTAATGCTAAATATATTGGAGCATCAACTCCTAGATGGAATAAAGGTTTTACAGCAATCTGTATTAAACCTATATGAATATATCGATATTCTTTTCTTAAATATTTTTGAATTGTGCTATGATTTAATAGTTGAATAGATTGATATTCTTCTTGAAGAGATATGGTTTCTTCATGAGTTTTAACTGATAAAGCAGTTTTGAAATCTAAAGGGCCTATTCTATAAATATGTTCTATTTTTTCTTCTGGAATAGTCCAATCTGAATTATTTATAGGCATATGATATTCATGACTTTGTACTACATTATCTCGTTTTGAATTTGATCCTATTTTTAATTGTCTAAGAAATGCATTTATGTTCATTTATTTTAATTAAATTTTTACTGAAAACGTTGGTAAGACTTAAGGCCTTGTTAGTCCGTTGGTAAGTCCGAAGAAGGATGTTCCAGGCATAGTGCTCGGTAGCTACACCCAGGACTTTGCAATTATTCATATACGTTAACTAAAAGCAAAAATTGTAGGGGCTTAGAGTGTAATAAATGAAACTTACTTGACTTTTGAGAGTGCACAATCGGAAGCTTGAATTCAACAATGGAAACTTGCCAAACTTTATTATAATGATGAAATCCACTTCTACAAAGACTTTTGAGTACAATGGTTATTTAGAGTGAGTGGGAATAGTAGGAGAACTAAGAGTGAGTGGGAGTGGTAGGAAAACTAAGACAAGTCTATTACAACTTCTGATATTTCTTCGCCGATGCCTATCTTCTGAATCTTCAATCTATTTATAGAGGCTCTGTTCTGCATTTCATCTTTTTTTTGAATTTCAATTTTGCTTTCATTTGTTGTGGCCGACATTCTTTTTCAAAAGTCGTTTGGATTTTGTCCACCGATGGGATCATCAAAAGGATCAAAAGTAGATTCGGATGATCCTGCTGGCTCCTCTATTTTGTCTTCTTCTTTTGGCTTTTGTAAATAATTCAGATATTCTTTCAGCATCTTGGGATTCTGCATAATTTGCTTTATCAAAAAGTTACTGGCTGTTTTTTCGGATGCCATTTCCGTCACTTTTTCTTTGTCTCTTTTTGGAGTGACTGGAGTTGGTGTAGTGGTTGGAATGATTGTTGACTGTCTTGTCTCCTTTTGAGTAGTGGTATTAGCTGTCCACTTTAATTTGTCTCCAGTGGTCAGGAATCTGATTACATTAGTTTGATCGCCAAATTCTTGATTGAATCCAGTCCACCATTTTATTTTGAATTCTCTGACCAATGACATTGGCAGAGGTTTTTCCAGTTCTTGATGAATTTTGAAACTCCAGCAAAATATCCATGGCACTTTGAATTCCATGTGGAATAAAATTGGTCTTGTATATTCTTCCCCCTTTGCTCTTTTTAGGTACGTTTGAAATCCCATGAGAACATTCGGAGGTAGAATTTCGGGTTGAGGTCCGAACCATTTCCACCAGTGGTTGAACCAAATTGGAAATTCTTTGTTGCAACTTTCTTTGAATGTAAAAAACCAGGAATGATTGAATGGTCTAAAAAGGAAAGCACGATACCATGCCATTTTGTAATCTTGGTATGTGAATCCATCTGGAATGAAATTCACTGAAAATGATTTTTTCGAATAAAGAGAAGTCCATTCTCCAGGAGAACAAACTTTCTTTATAATACACTTGGAATGACTAATAATGTTTGGATTCTTTTTATCTAGAATGGGGTAAATCTCTACAGATTGAGTATCTGTAAGGATTAATTCATAATAGTCTAGATTTTTTGAAGGGTCATCTGGTTGCCAATAGCATTTTGGAGGAAAGATCCTTTGAGTAACTTGATGAAGAGAAGAGTATATGGGTATTTCTTGGAATCTGGTTAAAGTAATATGTTGAGTAAATGGCTTTGTGAAATAAGTATTTCCTTGAGATTTTTCTGGGGATTTTGCTAATTGTTGAATGGGTCTAATTTGAGAAGCAATTGGAGTAACAGCTTGACTATAAGTCAATGCTGGAAAATCTGATAATAGTTGAAATCTATTTTGAGAAACAGGAGTAAGACTCATCTCATAATCCTGAGGAGTCTTTGGCCTGGAAGTGCCTGCTTTTGAATCCATTTTCCTGCAAAATTAATAAACAACATCTTTAAGTTGGTCAGATAATTGTCTATTCTGGTCTTGGTAATATTGAATAAATTCGTTGTGAAGAAATTCTTCACTTCTGCTTGCTCTTTGATGGGTAATGAGTCGAATGGTGTTTTTCTGAATTTGTCTTTGAATAAGAAAGGCTCTTTCTTTTGGAGTAATGGTTGCATAAGGGCTTTTTTGAACATAAATTTCATCGTATTTAGGAATTTGGTAGGCTGGAATAACTTGTCTTCCATTCTGGGTCTGAATGGAATATACATATCCTCTGGATTGAATCACTTTTTCTTTGTTCTGAAGCTTTGGAGAATCTCGTTGTGATCTCAAATAATTTGAATATTCACGAGCATTTTTTCGAGCTATCATTGCTGGATCCATGTCCTTGTAAAAATTCTCTAGTAAGAAAATCTGGTAAAGAATTATTTTCTCCTTTGATAAATTCAATCTCGAAATCAAATACAGATAAAATAGCTTGCCATCTAGCAAATATTTGTTTTGAAACTATATTTTGAACATCTTTTTGTAAAATTTCTTTTGCAGATTTACAATCTATTCTAATC